AAAAAGGTGAATGTTGTTGGTGAACATTTCCAGCCTGTCTCCGACTCTGCTCGTTTCTCTTCCAGGTGATGCTGGCCGTTACATCCTGGTGCAGGACTCGAGGAGCTTTCACGGCGCTCGGTCCTACTGCAGGGAGAGGTACACAGACCTGAGCACCGTCAACAGCGTGGTGAACAACACGGAGATCGTGACTCTGCTGGCGTCAGGCATGCATGATAGTTATTCAGTGAATGGAAATAAATGGCCGATTCCCTCTTTGTCACGTGCCTGGATTGGTTTGAGCAACAGCTGGGAGTGGTCCGATGGCAGCGACGTCCAGCTCCTGCCTCTGACTTTGCAATCAGGAGATGGGGACTGTGTGATGGTGGACCGATCATCATCATCGTGGATTTTCCAGCCATGCAGTAATACCCACCCCTTCCTCTGCTACCAGGGTGAGTCTGTGCTCGCTGTTACTGCAGAGCCTGATCCTCCTGAGATGAGTCGGTAAATTTGATGATGAGATTGTTGTTGTGGGTCGAACTATAGTCGTGGATGTAGAGGAAATACAGGAGGGGGCTCAGCACACAGCCCTGTGGGGAGCCGGTGCTCAGTGTGCTAGTGGAGGAGAGATGAGGGCGGAGTCTTACAGTCTGGGGCCGGTGTCGCGGTTTGCCAGGGCAGGCTGTGGGGATGTGGGAATGAGGACCCAAATGCAGGACTCTGGTAATGATGACAGTGCGTTTTGTTCACAGTGAGTGACAGCAATCCAACAATAATCCCCTGTGAGCTCCCGACTCCCGTGCAGCATCCATTCCCCGTGCTCCACATCTCCGCTCCCTTACTTGTATCTGCTGCCCTCCTGCGCTCCACTCTCCTGCTGAGGCAGCTGTTAGCACAATCCCACCGTCGCAGCAGACTCACACTAACTATAGCTGGGAAACTGACGGGTAGTCACGTGTACGATCCAGCGTCGAGGAGCTCTCAGCTACAATCCTATGCAGCTCCCCAGACGAGCCTGCTCAGCTGCAGGTGTGGCCAGGCTCCAGGCAGACACACACCTAGATACACAAACATGGAAACAGGAGACAGCGGCACCAAAAAACACACACGTCCATAACTTCTTACTTCTTACGCGACAGCCAGCTTGTAAGAAAGTGCTTTATCCAGGTACATGTGAGAGCGGGGAGGCCATGAGTGACCCGTTTGGTGATGAGTCTGGGATGATTGTGTTGAAAGCTGAGCCGTAGCTTTGCTGCTGTTCGGCCCTGGTGTTTGCTGGGGTCAAGTTCTGGGGGAAGGAAGTCCGTGATGTGCTGAAGGACTAGTCTCTCGAAGCATTTCATGATTATTGTTTTGAGGGCCACGTTCAGGCTGGTGATGGGAGACTGCTTCGCCACTGGGATGGTTGTGGCTGATTTTAGACAGGATGAGATGGCTGCCGATCCAGTGAGTGGCTGAAGATACTGGTGAAGATGAGGATGAGCTGGTGAGCACATGCTCTTAGCACCTTGCAAGGTACCTTGTCTGGACTGGCCGCCTTCCTGGGGTACACTGCTAGGAGCACACGTCTGACATTACAGTGAATGGAGCAGTGCAGGAACCAGTGAGGATGAGGATGGCAGCAGAGCTGAAGCAGATGAGAAGCTTTTTATTTCCTCTGCCAGCTGCACACTCAGCTTCTCTGCTTTCTCAGTGCTGCCTCTGTGGTTGTTGATGTCTTGTATTACCTGCCACACCTACCGTGTGTTGTTGCTGGACAGGCGGGACTCGATGCTTGTTTGTGGTCTGTCTTGGCTTTTTTATTCCACTTCTCAGGTCAGCTCGTCCTGTACAGAGCTCTGTCACCTGACCTGGAGGCGGCATCGCGGGCTTTGAGGAGTGAGTGGACCTCGCTGGTCATCCAGGGTTTTTGGTTTGGGAAAACCTGAATGCTTGTGTCCACAGTCACATTTCCAATACACAACTTGATACAGTCCAGAACTGATCCTGCAAATGTTTCTAGGTCCTGGTTTCTGTCCCAGTCTGTCTGTGTGAAGCCGTCCTGTAGTTTGGAGAGAGCAGTTTCAGGCCAGGTTGTAACCGTCTCTGTGTTGGGCCAGGCACTGCGTCTGAGGGGGGTGTAGGCTGGGAGAGCAGGAGGGAGAGGACCCACAAACACCCACAGACTCAAGAACAGTTTCTTCCCAAAGGATCTCACACATGCACCGATAACACAGTCCCCCCCCCCTTTTCACCCAAACTGTATATACAAAACAGTCTTTATTTACACACCTGCTTGTTCTTGTTTCTGTTACTACTGTCAATATTGATATAGTGCTGCAGAACTGCCCCCCACCCCCCGACATGTTTGCACTGAGTTGGAGCTGTTCTGTATCTCATTGTAGGACTGCATAGTGACAACAAGATCTATTCTGATCTGATCGGCTTGTTGTTTCTCTGCAGATGTCCAAACTCCAGTGTGGCAGCGCAGCGTGAAGGTTCAGCTGAGCGCGGGCTCTGCAGACCTGAACGACCCCGCAGTGCAAGAGTCCATCCTGCAGCAGGTCAGAGGTCACACGACACCCTGTTCCTGCAGCAGAGCCCCACCAAACTGCAGCCTCTTGCATCTTTAAAATAAAAGCCAGAGGATCATTTGGTGGCATTTTCCTCTAGTCTGCATGTCCTCAGTCAGCAAGAAAGAAAATACTCAATGACAACCGTGTTAGCATAAATTCAAGAATTTAAGAATGAAATTCAGTGATCACTCAGTGATTGTGCTGGTTATAAATCAGTCACTGTGTCTTCATCAGGTTTCAAACACTTTTTGACTTCACACACTGTCATAATGTGTGAAAACTGTGTTTCAGGTGAGGGAGAAGCTGGTGGAGCAAGGAGTCACTGAGGAGGTGAAGCTGAGGTGGAGGACGCAGCCTGATGGGAAGGTTTTCCACAGAGAGGAGGAGACAGCCGGTTACTGTGAGGAAGACTGTGGGTCGGTTTAGTCTGCACACCAGGAAGTGACATCATCTGTGTATTCATTATCACTGGCTGATGTCTTAATGATAAATCGATTACGTCTTTTAATCTGTAGAAGTTACCTGACTGACAAATATCAGTAGCTAGCTCCTAAATTATTGTGTATATTAGGGTTAGTAATCGAGTATATGTATGAGTAATGTTTGAAGAGTAATTACTCTGTAGATTAGTGTTGCTGGACCTCTAATCACGACTCTCTGCTTTGAGGGTCCTGCTGTGAGGAAACAGGTGCAAATGGTTTACTTTTTATTAACTATGATTTTTCTTCTTCAGCTGTTTTTCTCAATGCATGAAATTGTAATTTTCATCTTATGAACTAAATAAAAGAGCAACTTTACACACCTCTACTTTTTCACAACGTAAGGGTTATGATGGCAAACAGGGCACTGATAAAACTAATGTGAATACATTTCATGATTTTGATTATTAGACTTTGATTCGTGTTGTTTGGCTTTGATTCTTCAGTTAAATCAGAGCTCAGAGCCTGTGGTGCACAGCCTCTTAAAATAAATCAGTCAAATTTAACATCAAACTGTTAAATTGTTGAATGTTGTCATTGTGTTTCTTAAATGTGTAAAGTCTTAGTTTAAGCAGCAGATCAAAGACGTTCCTTTGATCCTGAACACCTCTCCAGCCTCTCTGTGCTGGGGGAGGTTT